GATAAAATTACACATAAGAAAAAAAATTCTTGGATGATCAGGATGTACATGAGCCCAGTGCATCCAAATCTTTGATGTTGGCGGGTTTCATTTCATATCATCCAAAGGCTGAGATGCATTGGGCTCGCATGCAGTTTCTACACACAAAAATGACAATGCTAATATTTTTCATAAAAATTAAAAAGCAAAGAACTTTGCAGATGGGAAAAAAAATTCCCCACATTAATTGCTTGGCGACGAACCAAGTTGAGCGCACTCGACAACCGGGTCTCTCTCTCCGACAGTTCTATGATCCATCCGCGAAACGAAACCTCAAATTCGTAACGATTGTCGCTCATTGCAATTTTTTCATAACTCTTGTACAAAATGTCGTGACACACAAGAACTCAAAAGTTTCTCATCCGCGGACGAGATTTACTCTTTTCTTTTATCCGACTGCTATGGAGAGGCCGGGATCCTTTTCCATCCGAGAAACGGTCCTCGAGTAGTAACGAATCGCAGCTCCTTGCAATTTTTCGTAACCTCGTTGTGTTGCGCTCCTCAAAGTTCATAACTAGAAGACAAATTCCAAAGAGTAATACTTCGTTCAGTGATTCGAGCATTGTCGCATGTGATTGAAAAACTTTAGACAATCTATGGTTGATAATCCCATCTAGAGTTTCGATCTAATCGCAGTTGAATCCACACCGTAATGATCGTCACCCACCGTCTCTTCGTCAGTCACTTTCTCCAACTCTTGTTGAAACCTTTGCATTGCTGTCTCCGGCAACATCATTGCCTTCGAAAGTACCGTTGCATTCGCTGACGTGATCCCGTAATAACCATGAGGGGCACCGAGGCCACGCTGGCCTCGCACATTGATAACGCACGAGAGGTGGGACAACGTTGTCCGGCTCGATCTCGAGTGCGATCGTGCGGCACTTCCATGGGCACGCCATGAGTAACTAGTAGGTGGAGGATTTTGAGACTAGATGGTGAGGGAGGTGTTTCTTGATCGATGCCACATCCCGCGGGTCGAAAAGGAACGATCTGTGTGCCATCTTCTCAGGTCTGACACGGTGACTGCACTTCCAGCATCGATGATGTCCTTGAACTCAGGGTGCATGCACGTCACTCGTGGCGGGTCTCGCACATTGAGGATCTCTCTTTGCCAAACAGGCGGCTGAGACAGCGCACGTGCCCCTCGTGCGAGTTCCGCGGCTGCCTCTAGGAACTGTTTCAGTCCGAGGGAATCGCTGATTGTGTGATTGAGTCGGATTATGAGTATGGAGCCCCCACATTTCAAACGGGTCACCTACCACGAAGAAGGAACTCGTAAGAAACCCAGAAAGGTAAAAGTTGAATTAATCAGAGTAAGGGGGCATGTCGAGGATGAATTCAAAGCTTACAAGATGGTCATAGCAAGTGAACTAGAGATGGTCAAAGATGAACTCGAGGCTTGCAAGACGGCCCAAGAGGTGGTCATCATGATGCCGAGTATAAGGGGGGACATTTCAGAGCGAAAGGATTTCAAGGGAGAGCGGTCCGCTAAAGAGGTGGACAACAACTTCATATAGGATGCCAATGGGAATCAAGGACGACAAGATTAAGATACGAACTGCTGCTATGTATTTAAGCGACGTCACTATGCTTTGGTGGAGAGGTAAGTGTAACAATGAAAGGCAGGGTGCCAAACCGATCATTCAATGGGCCGCCTTCATCACCGCTTTTTGTGAGCAATAAGCTACACAAGATTTGCAAGTATGTACGGGAGTTTTCAAGCTATTGTTGGAAATTCCGGGTAAGACTGAGTCCGAGGCACTACTCACATTCATGGATGGGCACAACCCTTGGGTGAGATTGGAGTTGGAACACCGGCGAGTAGAAGAACTATCGAGAGCCCTTGCAATAGCCAAGTCCTTGATTGATCGCCATCAATTCGAATCTTCCCAATCCAATGAGAAAGGTGATAGAGATCGCCACCATGACGAGGGCGACGAAGAGGAAGAGGAAGTTGCCCATGACCAAAATGATAAGCAAGGGAGGCTTTTGAGTGGCAAGTAGACGAAGCGACAAGGAAAAGTGTACGGAAAGCTGATCAAGTGCTTCTTTTGCGATGGCGCGTACCTTGCTCCGGATTGCTTAAAGAAAGGTAAAGTTTCCATAATGCGAAGAGAGGAGGAGGAGGAGGAGGAAGAGCCAAAGCAAAAGAAGGGTACAAGGAGATTAGAAGTGTGAAAAGTTTCGTACGATACTCATTTTAGTAACAAAAGTTTTTTTTGATCATTAAGTGCTACTTTAAAGAAAAAAGATCACTTGAGTACCAACTTCGATTAAGGTCACCGGAAATTCGACGTCATCATATTTTATTAATTTCTTCAACTAACATGGCTCGCTAGCGCTCCGAGTCAACATTAATAACTCAAAATGACGTCGCTTAACATATATGCCCCAATTAATAAACACTAATTCGGACAAATCAAATTTCTTGAAACCCTAATTATTCTCTATTTAGATCTATTTTACTCATGTTCGACTTTATTTCGTGGACTGCGAATCTCCTGAATTGATTTGTATGGATTTGGTCTCGAATTTGAGTCCATCGATGTTTTTTTTTTTTATGACCCAGGAGAGGAAGAGTGTGCGCTCCAGCAGCGCCACCCAGGCGGATGGTTGAGTCCATCGATGTTTCGTTTCACTGCACTGTGAATTTGGCCGGCAAGAGAACAACGTGGATAGAGAGATTGACTTTCTTTACTGTGTGCGGTGGGATTTTTATTCTCAGAGCACACCACCGCACACGTGGACTTTTTTTTATATAGAAAAGCCTCATAATATTTACATATAACGAAAAATGCCATGAAATATTTAACATTTAATTAAAAAAGTCATGTAATATTTTTTTGTCGGAATTTATCGCCATAGGCACTAAACCGATCGTTTTTTCTCCGATTTAGCACTTAAGTGAGCTAGCGAAAAGTTTTAGCACTAATGTGAATGCCGTATGAGACTTCTGGCACTTCTAGTATCCTTATACCCAAGAGAAGAGAGAGAAGTGCTGCTTGGGGCGTTGAAGCTTCTCAACTCCATGAAGACTCAAGCACCGCCCAAGAAACCTGCAAATACAAGTTTGCTATTCGTGGAAGTCAAGGTTAGTAACACAAATCTCTATGCCAAGTTTGACATTGGCGTGTCAAACTTGTTTATGTCAAGCGAAGCGGCAAAGGGTTTGGGACTTCGAGTGAAGCCAACCGGTCAGAGGTTTAAGGTGATCACTTGGATGATGTACCGACCATTGCATCGTTTGAGACGTGAAACTACAAATCGATGATTGGAAGGGAAAATTCTCATTCCAGGTAGTTCCGCTTGATGAATATGATCTTGTTTTGAATTTGAAATTCTTTGATAGGGCGAATGCCATGAACGTTATGAGAACCGAGTCAATTATTATCATCGATCCAAAATGCCAATTCGCGGTACTGATGATTTGTGGGTTGATGGAAAACCAAGAAGATCTCCACAATATGACTTGTGGGTGGAAGGTTGAGAATGGGAAGCCTGTAGCCAAGTCAAGGGCGAGACCACAACCTTTGGAGGAGCCGAAGGTAGAGTTGGAGCAGTCAATGCCAACTCAAAGAGAGATGCCGATCCATGTGTTTTTTCAAGAAGTAGGGGACTTACTGAGCAACATGGAGGTGGCCAATTTCAAAGAGGAATTGCTTGTAGAACGAGTTGGGATTCAAGAGCTAGTCGTCAAGTCAAGAATAGAAAGACCAAGCGGCAAAGGAGACGGACAAATCACCAATGTTCAAGTGAGCCAATGATCCAAGGGAAGGATGCGATCAGGCAAGCGAAGGACTTTGAGTTGAGAGCGGCATCGCTTGATTGGGTGGGGGGAATGCCATAGACGGATTGCCAAGTAATCAATCCGAAGAGCCAAGAACTGTCGGATTAATAGGGGGGACTCACTCTCGACCATTAAATTATGAGATGAGGATTGATATCTGCCAAGATGTATCTGCATCATCAAGATTGTAAGGTGGTAGTGATCTCCACCATTAGATTGATAGGTGAGATTAGTAGGTGGGAATAGATCTTCCTCATTAAAAGAGATGTAAGATCAACGGTTGTAATTAGAGAGACTCGTGTATAAATAAAGCAGCCCTCTAAATATTTTCTCTCTCCACTATCTGAGTTGGTTAGCTAGCGAGTAAGCGATATATCAAGGAAAGGTTGACCTTAAGTGTCCAAGGAGTCTAAGTGCTACACGGTTCACAATCTCAAGTATCGGCCCGTGATATCTAGACCTAGACCGGAACAATGCTAATACTTTCCCTAAGATAAACACCAAAGAACTTTGGAAATGAAAAAGATTCTTAACATTAATTGCTTGGCGGTGAACCAAGGTGAACGCACACGACAACGTGGTGGTCCTCTAATAATTCCCTCTCTGTCTGATAGTTCTATGGTGCAATCGAGAAACGGATCATCGAGTCGTAATGGATCGTAATTTTTTCGTAACTTCCATACAAAATGTTGTAATCACGTAAAAACTTAAAAGTTTTTTTTTATCAAAGCGCAAGATTTACTCTCTCTTTTTTCTAGAGGTTGGGAATCTATTCTCTAAGTATCTTAGACAGGATGTGTTGCACCTCCACAAACAAGCTGATTTCGATAAAAACCAGAGGCATTTCGATTAGGACTCATCTGGTGCATAATTGTATGAAGTGCAAAGATCATCATACGATAAGCTTGGGAGGGACGTGTGGTTAGGTCATCCTTCACTTACTAAGCTCAAACGAAAGATAACGCATGTTCTTGTTTATTCGTCTTACTTATGAAGTCCATACCTAGCCGTTTGACATCTGCGTACCGGCGCACACGAGTACCTTGTGCTTGTACCCTGCATTGTGCTGCTTTCTGACTGACGGCTGACGTATCAAAAAACACAATTAGTTACGAAAATCTTTGGGCATCCTGAAGCTCTAAAGAATCAAAAGACTAGTGCACGCGAATCACGATTGAAGTTTAACAAGAAAGTTGGTAAAAATAAACATGACATGTAGTTATCTTAAGCGAAATGAGCCCAATCTCATGAATACAAGGTCAAAAGGGCAGACGTCTAAGAACCCTTCTAGAGTTTCGATCTAACTGAAATTGAATCCACGCCATAATGATCATCACCCCCGATCTCTTCATCAGTCATTTTCTCTAACTCTTGTTGAAACCTTTGCATTGCCCTCTCCGGCAACATTATTGGCACAACAATCCCCTCCTCTCCCTTTCTTGTTTTGTACTTCACATAGATGCTAATCAAAGGAAATGCACCGGGGATTCCGCCGTACACCGGCTTGCCCCACCCGAAATCAACCTCTTCGAACCCGACCTTGGTCATGTCGGCGACCACGTAGTTCCAAACAGTCGTGTACTTAGGCCGTCCCTTGATCACCAACACATCGATGGAGGACCTTACGTATTCTTCGCTCACCATTTCTTTTGCTTTCTTCACTAACTCGACTGCATACCCCAGTGGCCTATTGCACAGATGGCCCGCCTTTGAAAGCACCGTCGCAAAGACTGTCGTGTTCCCGTAATAACCGTGAGGCACGCCGAGGCCTCGCTTCCCTCGCGCGCTAATCATGCACGATAGCCGGACGACGTCCTCTGGCTCGATCTCAAGTGCGATCGTGCGGCACTTCCATAGGCATGCCGTGAGTAACTCGTAGGTGGAGGATTTCGAGACTAGATGGTGAGGGAGGAGTTTCTTGATCGATGCCACTTCGCGCGGGCTGAAGAAGAACGATCTGTGCGCCATGTTGTTGGGGTCCAACGTCATGGCTGCACCTCCGGTGTCGACGACGTCCTCGAACTCAGGGTGCATGCACGTCACTCGCGGCGGGTCTCGCGCGCAGAGGATTTCTCTCTGCCAAACAGGCGGCCGAGACGGCGCAGGTGCGCCTCCTGTGAGTTCTGCGGCTGCCTCTAGGAACTGTTTAACTCCGAGGGAATCGCTAATTGCGTGATTGAGTCGGATTCCGAGGATGAAGCCCCCACATTTCAAACGGGTCACCTGCAACTAGGAAGGAACTCGTAAGAAACAGAAAAAAGGAGCAAGTTGGATAACCAGGGGTGAGAGGACATATCTATACAAAAAATATAAATCTTGTCTCTTGAACTTTCACCTATTAACTAAGTCTGGAGACCATATATTTATTAATGATGTTATGAGTTAGACAAATTACAAGTTGCAACACCACTAAATAATGATCAAGGAATGATCTTCCTACTATACCTATCAAAAAGATTGGGAGTGCTAGAATATTCAAATATTAAACCACGCTTTCATCTAATAGTTTAAATTTTTAGAATAATTGACAGTGGTCTTACAAAATCCCACGTGGTATCAGAGTATGAGGTTGCTATGTGCCTCCCCAATTATAAATTTCCACACTTTAGGCATAGGCTAAGATCCAGCCTACGCGCGAGGGGAGTGTTAGAACATGTAAATATTAAACATCTAATGGCTTAAGCTTTTAGAACAATTAACATCAGTGGTCCCACATAATCTCACAAGAAAAAATATCTAAAAAGTTCTAAATTTATTGTACGGCGGCCAATTCAGTCATAAACTTCTAATTTGGCCAATTTAATACTATACTTTTTGACGATTTTCCAATATAGTCTAATCAACCAATTTAAGTTGGAAACCACTGACATGGTGGTCTAGTTAATTCTGGCCGTCCTACGTAACACGATTGGCGCTGACATGAATGATTTTTGCAATTTTTTAAAATTTCCCCTTTTTCTTTTCTTTGCTTTTCTTTTCTCCTTTCTTTTTTCCTTTTTTTTTCCTATTCTACTGTTCATCTTCTTCCTCTTTCGGTCGTCGAGGCGATGGCCAACACCAAGGCTAGGCCCCAACGCCCTCGCCCAGATCTGGAGTTGCAGGGTCACCGACCAATATCTAATAGACCTGCATTTGGAGTAGCGAGTTGTTCCTATTTCTTTGGGTTAATACCACGAAAAACCCTAAACTGATACATTTGTAACAGATTTATCCCAAACTATTTTTTTGACCACAAAAAACCCCAAACTGGTACATCTGTGACAATTTTACCCCGAACTATTTTTTTGACTACCAAAAACCCTAAACTGGTACACTTGTGACAATTTTACCCCAAACTAATTTTTTAATATTATTTTTTATTTTTCGATTATTTTTAGTTTTTCTTATATTTTCTTTTTCCTTTCCTTTTCTTTTTTTTTTCCTTCATTTTCAACCTCTGGCCGGTCGCCGGTCCGGCGATCAGCCAGAGGCGGGGGCCGGCGAGGCCGACCTCGCCGTTGCTGGGCGAGGCCGACCTCGCCGGCAATTGGCCAAGTCGGCCTTGCCCCACCCCTGGCGAGGGGTCGTCCTTGCCATCGCTGCCGGCAAGGGGTCGTCCTCGCCGTCGCTGGCAAGGTTCGACCTCGCCGCTTCTGGGCGAGGCTGACCTCACCACGCCAGTTGCCGGCGGGGCCGAGCCTCGCCAGCGACGGCGAGCACGACCCCTCGCCGGCAACTGGCAAGGTCGGCCTTGCCCACCCATGGCGACGGCGGAGCCGGCGAGAGGTCCTCCTCGCCGTCGCTGGCAAGGTTCGACCTCGCCGCTTTTGGGCGAGGCTGACCTGGCCAGTTGCGGCGGGGCCAAGCCTCGCCAGCAATGGTGAGGACGACCCCTCGCCAGGGGTGGGCAAGGCTGACCTCGCCAGTTGCCGCCAGGTCGGCCTCGCCATCGGCCGGCGGGGCCGACCTTGCCGGCCCTCGCCTCTGGCCTGTCGCCGGACTAGCAACCGGCCAGAGGTTGAAGATGAAGGAAAAAAAAAAAAAGAAAAGGAAAGGAAAAAGAATAGATAAGAAAAACTAAAAATAATCGAAAAAATAATATTAAAAAATTAGTTCGGGGTAAAATTGTCGTAGGTGTACCAGTTTGGGGTTTTTGATGGTCAAAAAAATAGTTCGGGGTAAAATTGTCACAGATGTACCAATTTGAGGTTTTTTGTGATAAAAAAAATAGTTTAAGGTAAATCTGTCACAAATGTACCAATTTAGGATTTTTCGTCATATTAATCCTTCTTTTTTCTTCCTATTCTACTGTTCACCTTTTTGTGAGCGTGCCTGTGGAAAAGGAGCTTGTGAAAACGCTTTCTTCTTTTTGGTGATGGAGAAATCATTTTTCCTCAATTTTAAGTATGGTTATTTTCCTTGATCGTAAAGTTTTGTTTTACGTTAATTACCTACTTTCAACTAATCAAATACATAAAAGCATGGAAAATCATTTCATGCAAATTTTTTTCACAAGAAGCACAGCTTCGGAAAGAAACGAGCTCGAGATGAGTTCGATATTATCCGAGTGAAGAGCTTGATTAGCTTATAGTCCTGATGAGTAGTTTTACTTGTTTACGCAGTACTTACCTGGACCAACAACAGAGGGCAGCCAACTATGCCGCCCGACCCGGCTACATCACACAACACCTCGTCCGCGAAGCCACATGACGGCAGCATGGAGTCGCAAAGCTCCTCGAGGCCGACGTCGGCGTCGGCTTCCACAAAGAGAATCCCCTCGCCGGTGCAGTCCACTGCAAGCTTACGGTTCGGCCCTTCCTGGATCCGCCCAGCCAACGGGTAATAATACACGAGCGCCTCTGCGAGCGCTTCCTTGACGACTCTCGCCGGGTCTTCTCGGCCTTTCATTGAGGGGTTGTTTGGGTAGAAGAGAAGGAAGGGAACCTGAAAGCGAAGCCCCTCCTGGTCGTCCACGTCCGAGAGGAGCTTGAGCTCGTGCGGCGTCGCTCCCGACGGGGAGATCAGCTCCGGCTTGTGCCGGTTCACAGTTAGTAGGCCCAGAGAAGGAGGTGGTGGCGAAGCCATTTTTTGTGATGGCAGATTTGTGTGTAGCGAGCGATGAGAGAGAACAATTTACAAAACTTAGGAACTGTCAATGGTTTATATGGTGGGAAACAGAGGAGACTTTGTACTTAAGTCTTATTTAATTAGGAATAAGGAAATTGGTGAAAGAAGTTTTATTGGGAGTGTTGAGATTCACGTGTGTACATCCTAATTGACCCGTAATTCATCGAACTATCTAATTTTAGTATATAGTTTTAATGCATGTTAGTTACATCATGAAACCATAGGTTATTTCTTAATATTTTGTTCGTCTAGCGGCATTAATTTGGACCTTTTAAGGCATTGGACCTTTGAGCTTAAAGGTCGAACCCCTAATATTGTCTCACATGTGATTTTTATGACTGATCAAATGATTTTTGATTGTCTCAAAATGACATGTTGTTGAGTGATATTCATGAATTTTGTATATAACACTTATTTAAATGCGTCGTTAAGTTCATTAATCATCGTACATATCGCTCGTCATATGTTACTTGCATGTTTAGAACTTGGGTGCATTCACAACTCATGTCTAAGATTATGCACGTTGGAATCCATATAGACTTAGGCTAGTTTATAGTTTCCATCGATTAAGTAAAATCAAATAAAAAATGCCATTTAGATTGCATATAGGATATAGGATTAGTTAGTCTCATAATATGCATGTCATGTAATGCACGTCATTTAGAGAGTCACATAGTTTCATGTTAGCGTGTCAATAAAATCGCATCAAGTAAATTACATTGGCCTTCGCTTTCTCGACATGGCAGTCGACCCTTTCGACAAAGAACACTCCGGTAGAAACTTTAAAGCACAAAAAGGAAAGATGCTCATCTTCCTTCCTGTGCTATGTCGCCATCATGAGACTCCCCACATGAACAAACTAGTGTAAGAAATAGAAAGCTCAGGACCATGTCTTGTCCCCCGATAGCGACTACCGATGCTGAGGTGGTGGGCATCGGAATATGACAATACATTTTACATCATCGCTTACCTCTAGAATGGGCCATTCACTTTCCATGTGTGTGTCATTTCGGTGTCCCTATGCATGGAGTTTGAGGAATGGAAAGTTGGAAACCAGTAATGTACGTGGCTCCTTCCTCGTTACCCTTTTTCGAGAGAGCTCGTAGACCCTCGTTTTTCTTGAATCTTGAGCTTTTTGAAGATTCCAACTCAGCCAACCATGCTGAGGCCTGCCTGTTTGCATTGTAGTAACGACGAGCTCCACAAATGCGTTCCTTATTTTAAAATACCGGTGCCCGCACGCCCTGTCCCCCTAAGTTCCCTTTGTATATTTGTCTTCCCCAGAAAGAGGGAATACCCTCTAAAAGTTTTATATTTCAGTGATTCCGAGGTTCGGACGAAGACCAAAATGAAGCCTTTTAAGGATCTGCTAAAGTCCAAGCTTGTAGACCCTTGTGCTTCTTGAATCTTTAGCTTTGTGAGGGCTCCAACTGAGCCAACCATGCGGTGTAACCATGTTTCATTGTAAGTGTTTGTATTTTGAAATACATATTTACAAGCATTGGACCTTTGAGCTTAAAGGTCGAACCCCTAATATTGTCTCACATGTGATTTTTATGACTGATCAAATGATTTTTTATTGTCTCAAAATAACATGTTATTGAGTGATATTCATGAATTTTGGATATAACACGCATTTAAATGCGCCATTAAGTTCATTAATCATCATACATATCGCTCGTCATATGTTAATTGCATGTTTAGAACTTAGGTGCATTCACAACTCATGTCTAAGATTATGCATATTGGAATCCATATAGACTTAGGATAGTTTATAGCTGCCATCGATTAAGTAAAATCAAATAAAAAATGCCATTTAGATTGCATATAGGATATAGGATTAGTTAGTCTCATAATATGCATATCATGCAATGCATGTCATTTAGAGAGTCACATAGTTTCATGTTAGCGTGTCAATAAAATCGCATCATGTAAATTACATTGGCCTCGGCTTTCTCGACATGGCAGTCGACCCTTTTGATAAAGAACACTCCGGTAGAAACTTTGAAGCACAAAAAGGAAAGATGCTCATCTTCCTTCCTGTGCTATGTCGCCATCATAAGACTCCCCACATGAACAAACTAGTGTAAGAAATAGAAAGCTCACGACCATGTCTTGTCCCCCATTAGCGACTGCCGATGTTGTGGTGGTGGGCATCGGAATATGACAATACATTTTACATCATCGCTTACCTCTAGAATGGGCCATTCACTTCCATATGTGTGTGTTTTTGGTGTCCCTATGCATGGAGGAATGGAAAGTTGGAAACCAGTAATGTACATGGCTCCTTCCTCGTTACCCTTTTTCGAGAGAGCTCGTAGACCCTCGTATTTCTTGAATCTTGAGCTTTTGAGGGTTCCAACTGAGCCAACCATGCTGAGGCTTGCCTATTTGCATTGTAGTAACGGCGGGCTCCATGGATGCGTTCCTTATTTTAAAGTACCGGTGCCCGCACGCCTTACCCCCTAAATTCCCCTTTTATGTTTGCCTTCCCTAGAAAGAGAGAATACCCTCTAGAAATTTTATATCCCAATTATTCCGAGGTCCGAACGAAAACCAAAATGGAGCATTTTAAGGATCTATTAAAGTCCAAGCTTGTAGACCCTTGTGCTTGGACTTTAATGCAAATGGGATCTTGACTTTGCTTTGTTTCCCCTTTTCCTTTTCATGTTTTCATGTGGAGAAATGAAAGACGAGGACTTGGGGCATGACCTATGGTCAATTGGCAAAAGTTTCAAGGACTGTCATCATTCATGTACAAATGTGCTCAATTTTTCCTTGCCACAGCCATAATTGCATTGACACTTGAGCCTTACTCTTGACATGATGCATCTCCCAATCGATTGATATGAGTGAAAAAGGACACTTGGGAATGGATATTTCAAATCTTAGACCGGACTATCTTCGACAAGACACGACCGATATCTCGAAGTTTAGTAATTTAAAGATAGGTCTATATTCCGATACTAAGAGATAATTTAATTGAAAAAAAATTGGCGAGTCGTGCTGATTAGATTGGTAATCTCTAGAAAGAGTTAGTAAATATAATTAGTTGCTAACCAAGATAAATAAAGTCTGATAACTCGATAACAATAGTTGGTAAATTAAAAAAAAAAAACTAAAGATTGGTGAATGACCCAAATGAGTGTTGGTAATCCAAATTCAATAGGTAATTTATTCTGAAAAAAAGTCGATAAATCACCCTAATTTAGGTTGGTATTATGTAAAAATTAGTATATTCAAAGCGTCAGTAAGTTTTACAAATAAAACCGGTAAGTTGATGCAAAAATTTGTTAATTTGTAAACTATCAAAAAAGGATGATAAACCCATAAAAGTGTTAGTAAATTACCAATAAGTTACTTCCAAAAAAAGTCACCGGTCATTTTTTTTCCAATAAATTCTTCAAACTTATCAACCCTCATTAATATTTACCAATATCGAAATGAAATCTGTATTTTTAGACACAAAACAATAGAGTTAGGGCTGGTGTGCCCTTTTTTTTACCAGAACAAAAGGATTAAAAACTGGATTTTTGGGTGAATAAACATGGCAGTGTACTCAAATTTCGAAGACAGAATAAGTAAGGCAATTGTGCAAAAGAAAATTTTAATTTTGTGCCATCAGCTTTTTATAAATGGGTAGAAACACAGGGGCAAGAAGGGGAAATATATGCAATGGAATTAACAACAGTTTTAATTACTTCTCTGACAAATAGAAATTTTACTCGATTCTCTTTTTTATTAGGCAAAGAAAATTATGTGAACTACAATCATAAAAAACGGAAAAATTACAAAAAAAAAGTCCTAAATTTATTTCAATGTGCCAATTTAGTTACAAACCTTTTGTATTTGTGTCAATTTAGTCTATGCGACGATTTATAATCGGAAAAGTCTGACGTGGCATCCTTTATAAATGGCCGAATGGATTGAATTGTCACAAATACAATAAGTTTAGAACTAATTTGATTAAAAAAAAGTTTAGAACTGAATTGGCACAATCACAATAAATTTATGACTTTTTCGTAATTTTCCTTAAAAATAATTGATCGCATAGTTTTCCATAGGGTCTATTAGCCTAGATTTATGTCAAAAGTAACTTTTCCAGTTTTCCGTCAAGATTCAAAAAGTTACCTAAATTGAACAAAAAAAATCTTGTCTGAGATGAGCTTACGAAACTACCAAATTACATGAATTCTATCTATTTAAAAAAATCCGTAACGAATTCGAGAGCCTCCATCCTTATCGGACGATGATATTCTGACACGCGTTGCGCTAAACTTTATTATCGTTGCAGTACTTCCTTTAATTTTCTCCTGTTTATCTTGTCCTTTAAATATGTACATGATGAACAATGCATCGTATATCAATTGCACCTCTTTATATATTATAGTATTACTTTCGAAACGCATTTCTTTTCTGTATTTTGATTGGTTGATATTTACTTTGAATATATAGTTCACGAGCGAAGAATATTATGAAAAAATAAAACAAAAAAAAGTTATAACGAGCTGCTAGACATTACAATCGTTGCAACATTTATCGTTGAACGTAACCAAAACGTTGCCTTCAATAAAGTGAAAAAAAAAAACGTGTTAGATATTTCATAGTATTTTTTTTATCTTAATTGTTATTCTCTTCTACATCCGAACGAGGCTCTTGACAATGTATGATCTGAAAGTTAACTCGAGCGCCGGACAATTCCTTGACACGGTACGAGAACACGACTCGAATGTGATGCGGATTCGCAGAGACAATTCCGAACTCAATACACAACAACACGATATCTGTTGATTCAAAACCGACACGAATTACTATCTTTTCATCCATGTTCATTGAAAAACATGTCACACCCCGAAACCTACCAGAACGGGGGATGACACGGCCATCATTTCACCCGAAGAACGCAGCCTGAAACTACAACAAGAAATCTAACTCCCAAAAGTCCCCACAACATCGCTCTCGCTCTATTGGCTATTAAACAAGAAACCTGAAAAGATTGGGGAAAGAGAAGAGTGAGCAACCATGGCTAAGTAAGTAGTGAGTATTTTTTCTAAGCAGATTAAGCAATCAATATGCATGTATACATAAAGCCATACCAGAAACTCATACTTCAATCCAAAGATATATATATATATATATATATATATATATATATATATATATATATATATATCAATCAAATACTAGTTATTTCATTTCCACAAAACTTTGTACAAGTCAGAAATATTCATTTAAACCACCATAATATCAATGGTCCATTCCATTGACTAATCTCAAATCACCATCAATAGTCTATTCCATTGATAAATCTCATATTACGTCACACGTTGATGGTCCATTCCATCGATCAATCTACTGCTTAATATCAAACCATGGTTACGACACAACGCCTTGTGACAAGGTTACAAAGATTCCCCCATTGACAAGGTCTCCACCTACAAAGCCGATGGCTCGGCCCAGAAGGATATTCTAACCTTGTATGCGTACCCCCAAACCCCTCGATGGGTTAACAGCGATATTGAGCACCAAACTCACATCCTCCAATATCAAAAATTCAATCCATAATCAATCTCATAATCCACAATGCATTTCACAAATCAATCATATAACCTTTCATAACTCAGTTCATACGATGAAAATACTTTTTCGTAAAGCCTTTCTCATATCATTTCATAAACCAAATTCACAAATTGATATGTATAACATTTTGTAACGTTTCTCAAATCATCTTAAAACCCATTCCGTAAATCAGTTCGTAACGTAATACATATATATCCGTTCGCAATATATTTCTTAAAACCATTCTCAAATAACTAATGAGTTTTTATTCAACAAACATACTTTACTAACTCATACGATACTCAAATCCTTATTACTTTCAAAATATGAGTTTATAAACTCAAAGAAGAGATAGCACTTCTCACCTAGAAATGCCTACGATCAAATGACAAAGATTACTCGAACCATTGAACTCGCAATCCTATCAAATAAACGAGAAACAGCGTTAAAATCAAGTAAAACGCTACCTAAACTCCAACTCGACTAAACTAAGCTTAGACGCTAACATAAATTCTAAAAGGCGGCCACAAATCGTTCGTCCAAAGCGATTATCCAAAACCGTTCGCAACGCGCAAAGCTTGAGCGCGAAACTTGATCGTGTCATAACTCTCACCACTGAACCCCGTTTCAAACGAGCTTATAGTCAAAATAAAGCCCATTCAAAGAACTACAAGAACCCCGGCTTGGCCGATCCAAACTCGGGTCAAAAAGCAACAAAATCAGCATATAAAGTTACTATCGCGCACTGTTCATCATTCGCAGCCAACTTCAAAAATTCGTATTGGGCAAACCGTAAGCCCAAATTGAGTTCCGCAAAATCTCATGACCCCACAGCACCTTAAACTACCAATTCTATATATATACGCAGCTTAACGACTCAAAAATCAAACTACGCAACTTGATGTTCACAAAACTCCGAAAGTGTGTCCTAATTCCAAAAAATACTCTGATTGGACGAAGGAGGAGCGCGAATACTTATCAGGCATTGCGATACAAAGTAACTCTGGCTTGGCGAGACTCCCGTGACGAGTACGCACTATCTTTCTTCTTCTTTTTTGTCTTATTTCATTTTCTTCCTTTCCGTTGTCCTTTCTTTTCTTGCACGAGGGAGTTCACGGCCACTCTCTTTCTCACTCTGCCTTACTTTTCCTTTTATATCGCAACGTTGTTTTGCGATGCACGCAAAATAAGATGAATGGTGGACATGAATGTGATGTGAAAACACGAATTGCCAGCCCCATTCGAGGGGTCTACTCGGATCTATCATATCGTGTGGCGCACAATGGACTTCTCTAATTTTCTGAAATCTTCTTCATTCTTTGAATTGATGAAAAACAAATTTTAGCGCAACCTAGAGGCCGTTTGGTTATGTTCCTATAAATATCTTTTCTTGTTTTGTTTTTGAAAGCCAAAAAATAGTTTTTTTTCACATGAAAACACAGTTTGAATGGTTACGGATAAAATCAGTTAATCCAAAAAGTAAAAATCAAGATAATATATTATCTCGAAAGCAGAACATTTTTGTTTTTCATAATCAGAAAAGCAATTCTATTTATCTGGAATTTTACATTAATGGAGGAAAAATTTGACACCAAAAGACCGCAATCCCTTCTATTTAAGAATTTTGCATTTTTGTTCTTCATCGGAATGCAATTGATCTAGATTCCGAAAAGCTATCTTCAAGATCACTAAGAAGAAAAAGTTGTCTCAATTTTTTTTTCTTTAAAAAAAAATTAAATCTTGTCTTGTGAGAGATGAGCTTGTGAAATTACCAAATCATATGAATTCATCTATATTCTAATATGCGTTGCGCTAAAATTTACTAAAATTGTACTGCTTCCTTTAATTTTCTCCTTTTTTATCTTGCCCTTTAAAAATGCACATGATAAATAATGCATTGCATATCAATTGCACCTCTTTATATATTTTAGTACTACTGTCAAAATGCATTTCTTTTCCGTATTTTGATCGGTTGATATTTACTTTAAATGTATAGTTCATGAGCGAAGGATGTTATGAAATAACAAAACAAGAAAAGGTGTAACTAGCTATTAGACATTACAATCGTTATTTAATGGAAACGATGTTGAATAAAACATTTATTGGTTCGGCGGCGTCACCAAACGTTGCCTTCAATAAAGGTAAAAAAAAAACGTGTTAAATAATTCATAGTATTTTGGGAACAAGGGCCACCGACAATCCAAGGGGAACGCACTCCACAACATTTTGGCCCCCACGTAATTCCTCGTACCATTTCCTCGTGCCTTATTGTGTGGTTGATAAAAGTCGCCACTGCAAGGAATTACAAAAGTGTTGTTTTTGTGGTCGAAAGAAATCGCGTGTTGAACGAGTCACGTCACGGTCGATGATCCTCACGCCTTTTCCCCACTCCCCACCTCCCGTACATTTGAAGTCGATGAACCCCTCGGAGCAAAATGGGCATTTCTTGAGCCGCTGAGGCTGTCGATGCTTGAATAGTCGGTCACTCAAACGAAAGAGAATGCATCTTTATTGTGTAATCGGTTTGCTATCGAGTCCATACATAACTAGGAGGCAAATTCCAAAGAACGATACTACTTCATTCGATAATTCAAGCATTGTCGTATGTGATTGAGAGACTTTAGACATTCTATGGTTAATTATGCTTCTAGAGGTTCGATCTAATTGCAGTTGAATCCACACAACAGTGATCATGCCCCGCCCTCTCTTCATCGGTCATCTTTGCCAGCTCTTCTTGAAACCTTTGCATTGCTCTCTCCGGCAACATTATTGGCACCACGATCCCCTCCTCTCCCTCTCTTGTTTTGTACTTCACGTAAAAGCTGATCAAAGGAAATGCACCGGCCACGCCGCCGTACGCCGGCTTCCCCCACCCGAAATCGACCTCTTCGAACCCGACCTTGGTCGAGTCGGCGACCACGTAGTTCCAGACGGTCGTGTACTTCGGCCGTCCCTTGGTTACCAACGTGTCGATGGAGGACCTCACGTATTCTTCGCTCACCATTCCTTTCGCTTTCTTCACCAGGTCCACCGCGTACCCTAGCGGGCTGCTGCACAGCTGGTCCGCCTTTGAAAGCACCGTCGCATACACCGACGTGTTCCCGTAGTAGCCACTGGGCACGCTGAGGCCTCGCTTGCCTCGCGCATTGATAGTGCACGATAGGCGGACGACATCGTCCGGCTCGATCTGGAGGGCGATCGTGCGGCACTTCCATAGGCATGCCGTGAGCAACTCGTAGGTGGAGGATTTCGAGATTAGTTCGTGAGGGAGGCGTTTCTTGATAGATGCCATTTCGTGCGGGCCGAAAAAGAACGATCTGTGCACCATGTTCTTGGGGTCCAACAACATCGTGGCCGCACTTCCGGCGTCGACTATGTCCTCGAACTCGTCATGCCTGCATGTCGCTCGCGGCGGGTCTCGGGCGTAGAGGATTTCTCTCCGCCAGACGGGCCGCCGAGACGGTGCAGGCAAGCCTCGTGCGAGTTCCGCGGCCGCCTCTAGGAATTGTTTGAGTCCGAGGGAATCGCTAATCGTGTGATTAAGTCGGAGTCCGAGGATGAAGCCCCCGCATTTCAAACGGGTCACCTGAAACTAGGAAGGAACTCGTAAGAAACCACAAAAGTTACAAGTTGATTAATCAGAGTACGAGGAGCAGATCTCTACGTCATGGAGTTATATAGTTGTGCATGTTTATGTGTTCTTGCATTGTATTATCCTATCCAATCAAAAAAATTTGTGTTTGAATTACGAAACTTTCTTTTTAACTACACTGTTACTAACCTGAGCCAACAACAGAGGGCACCCAACGGTGCCGCCTGACCCGGCAACGTCGCACAACACCTCATCCACGAAGGCACATGGCGGCCTCATGGAGTCGCCGAGCTCCTCGAGGCTGACGTCGGCGTCAGCCTCGACGAACAGGATCCCCTCGCCGGTGCAGTCCACCGCGAGCTTACGGTTCGGCCCTTCCCGGATCCGCCCGGCCAACGGGTAGTAGTACGTGAGCGCCTTCCCGAGCGCTTCCTTGACGACTCTCGCCGGGTCTTCTCGGCCTCTCATCGGGGGCCTGTTTGGGTAGAAGAGAAGGAAGGGAACTTGAAAGCGAAGACCCTCCTGGTCATCCATGTCTGATAGGAGCTTGAGCTCGCGCGGAGTCACTCCCGACGGGGAGATCAGCTCCGGCTTGTGACGGTTCACGGATAGTAGTGCTGGAGAAGAAGGTGGTGGTGAAGCCATTTTTGTGATGGTGGATTGAACAACTTAGAAAATTTGAGAATTGCTAATGGTATACATAGGGGAAACGAAGAAAGAGTTGGACTTGATTTGACTTAATTTGAGATAACGGCACTTGAATTATCAAAAGTTTCGTACGGTCTTGTATTAGTACCAAAACTTTTTTCCAAGTGTCAACTCCGATTTGAGACACTGAAATCCGACATGGCAAAATCAAGACTCGCTAAAAATACTAAACAACATTCTCTCTCTCTCTCTCCTCCTCAGAGCAGCCGCCACCGTCGTCCCCTCAATCGACGACGACGTGATCCAATACGTAATCTTGGAGAAGAAGGTGACGTTGCCCTTTTTTAGGTTGCGGAAGAGAACTTAAGAAACCAACGCGTGGCTAAACGAAGAAGAGCTGTGAAGATTCACACAAGATTACTTCAGAAGCCACTCTTCACCATGTACCTTTGAGGTTTGAATTGAAGTAACTGATCATCTAAATCGAAGATGATGATCGCGTGGAAAATAGTATATCTCTATACGAAAAAGCTATATGCTTGTCAGATCACCCTTTTCGTCGCGTTCATACGCAGTTCGAGTAATGCGATGAAAGCATTCGTCGATAGAACATGTTGTATCGATACATTCTTGATTGAATTTAGAAATATACTCTTGCACACGCCAATCTCTCCGAGGGGTGTATAATACCGCCGGTCTTGTTGAGAAAACAATCAAACAATAAAATAATCTAGCCTTCTTAAAGTTGATCGCATATATTGTTTACGAAAACGAATTAACGAGCATGGAGTGTTTTTAGGAAAACATTTTCCATCGATTTCTAAAAGATATAGCCAATCATTATTAAGAAATAACTTTCTAATTATTGATTTTTCGTGACACAAACACACTCAAAGTGACATGAAAATTGATAAAAAGCGCATGCTCGATTTGTCATGTCACTTTGTAGATTAGCCTTTATATGAGCATGATTAGTGATAAATGACATGTAACGACATGGACGTCCCCGTACCAGATGCATGTTGTAAATGTGTCACATGCCATAGCATTAACCTTCTTCTATACATGATTTCTATAATGTCAAGAGGTTATGCAGTATTTATTGACCGATAGTAACTCCTTTCCTATGGTTCTGTGAATTCTCCACTAGTTTTACATGTTAGGACCATACATTCCTACAACATTGAATGCGGGCCTCAATCATGGATTCTCGAATGACCTTTTCGACATCAACATCGACGGTTTTGTATCGGATCAAACCAAAAAGTACAATCCGAATCGAACCATGAACACCCTTACGACGAAGATGCAAGAGGGTACTGACAGCAAGTTGATTTGAGGCCAATGGCCATATTCTATCTTCCCACATTCTTCTGTGCGTTTGCCGTGTAGGCCTTGAATCCACCACACTCAAGTACTGCAACTTACAGAGGCAATTGCCAACAAGCTTACGCCAATTTAGGCGTACATGCATGAGAATACGTATGGAGGGAGGATCAAATCATCTGTTAATATGGGAAGGTAAAAAAGTGTTATGCAGTCACAACTGGTGGAAAAGGACAAAATTTCCTGGACTAAGGGAGTGTCTAGGAAGGGTTTTGCCAGCTCCCAACTTTGTATAGCCACTGAAATGAGAGGTCGAAGCCAAAGTGAGTCTTTTCAATGCATAGAAGTTAATGGCAGAACTAGCATGACTCGAAACGATAAAATCGATCACATCGCGTAGTAAAGTTCGATGTCGAAAGATAGTCATGATTACTCCACGCAGACACAAAGTCAAAGGACATTACGCAACCAGAGCGAGAAAGCGGCGGCATTTCATAACGTGGTCGGTCGGCAGGCAATCGAAACGCTTGCACCGGCCCAATCTACATAGGCCGGCCTCATCGATGTGAACAAACAGGTTCCGAAAAAATGATACCAGCACGAGATGCACGTTGTGCGGACCCTTCTCTCGTGAGTCCCACCACAAATAAGTACGAGCACAGTCGACGCTGCTCATGTTTTGAATTATCTCATCAACGGCACAGAAGAAACGAGATTGAGGAATACGGAGCGAATTCAGGAAGTGGTAACTCGACCTGGGACCACTTTTCTGCCTCGGCATTTTGACAAGAAGGCAAAAGCGTGAGGAATCGTGTGGACATTGGGAGCCAGCGACGAGGAAAGTCCGAGGGAGAAGAGGTTTCCAAATCTTTGACGTTCGAGTTGAGGATGTTCCATGTCGATAAGGAAAAACACTGACTTATATGACTCGTTGGGCTTGTCAGACAAGGAAAGTATTAGCTTTCCTAAAGCAAAACTTGGATTGGATTGAGAAGGCAGAAGATGATACCTCTTGAGATGGAAATGGATTATGTCAATTAAACCCTAATTGAAAGGATTCATATAATCGAAAGCAAAAAAATTAGAGATCTCCTCGAAACCCTTGGTGAGGACCATTAATTGTTTATTGAAAGGTGTTGTTGTCTATTCGATGTTAGTACTTTCCTTTATTGAAAGGTGTTGTTGCCTATTCGATGTTAGTACTTTCCTCGAAATTTACGTAACGTGTCCATAACTACGAGCATTCGCCGATCTAAGGGAACGCGAGAAACTCAACGTTTCAGTGCCTTCTAATATGCCTCGTGTTCAATTTCAACGCCTTCCAATTGTGACATTTAGTCGTAAATATGCTTTAAAGAAAGCTCCAAGGGCAACTTTCCCGAGTCAAAATTTCCTATTCGACATAGGGTGCGCTTCTTTCGCAACATGTTGCCTATAGGACACTCGTCAATAAAATATATATAATCTGACCAAAAATTTAAAAAAATAAAACCTCTATAATCATTTCATACTAATGTTTAACAAATTCAACAAAAGCTCTTCAAAAAAATGCAAAAAAAATACAGATGCCATGATGGCACATTCGCAAGATCTACAATAATTTTGCTTCATTTTCTTGGGAACAGCAAAACTAGCAATGATGGAGCTAAAACCAGCAATAATAAATCAGAAGAGCAAATTCACTATGTCATCGTATAAGAACAGATTTACAAAATTGATATACAGATTGATTGATCTCTTGAGTCGTACACAGAGAGCACCAACAAGAAATTATATACATCCAAGCATTTCGGATCGAGTAGAACCAAAACAGAGACCAGGGGGACTGGAGGCCCCAGCAACAGCTTAAATTATTCAACAGGACTCGTCAAACAATGGATCTGGAATTCATCACATACAGGACAACTATGAAGACGACGATACACACAAACCAAGTATGGCTTATATCACAGCGGACCCATTCAAGCATCTAACCAGAGAAACTACGGTGGGTACCCCACTTTGCCAGAGAAGATGCTCCGAGCATCACCTGCAAGAGAAAGAGACAGAGGAAAGCAGAGAAAAACTATTCATGTAAGGAGAGACAGACAGCATTCGCAGCTCCAAATAGACAGCAGACCGCTGCCGCTAGCATTCAAAAATAAATCCATCATTGAGATCGGGCACAGTTTGCACATGTACTCGGAGGAAAACGATTCTTGGCGGGAAAATAAATCGCTGTCATTAATGACCAAAATTTGAATAAAATTCATACTTACGCAAAGTTTCTACTGCGTTCAAGTTTTATCGAGCACACCTGTTCTTGCCTGTTTACTTCGTTCATCTTCTGCACGGTAAAAGAAGAAGAAGAAGAGAGCCGCAGGAGCACATAACTTCAGAGATGGGAAGGATATCGGCCTAATTAAGCATTGTAGTTAAAGCACATCCTTGCAAATATGCGACGCTTTGCATATGCCGCTTAGACAAAAAAAAAATATATGAGAAGCATGCTTTTGCTGAGAACACCTGCACAGGCCAAAGGCCTCCTCTCGAGAATGCAACGCTAAATTGGCAGGGCTCAATTTTCATGCTAAACGAACCGGCAATGAATGACTGCGGAACCTTCTTCATAGAACCATACACAAACCCTGCCAATCGTCGGCTAATCTGATTGCATTACTTGGCAACTCCTGGGTATCAGCTATCGAAATTCTACAAACTAGAAGTCTAGGACCCCAAAATACATGCCAGCCCACACACCCAGAACAGAATTTGAGAGTGAAGATTCTATCTAAGTACCTCTTGCTCTCTCCTTTTTCCAAATTTAGCATCTCGGACGATTTAGCCTTCATTCAATGCAGACCGACTAAAACTTTTCAGAGCATGCAAATGCTTAAATGCAGCTTGACAATGTTTTTGAGTGAACCCAAACAAGATTCTACCCTAATAACATGAATCAGGGCAAGAAACCATTTCCAAAGGTAATGGGAAGCAGATTTTCGCAATATTATCCAGGTAAATGAGAGAGAACACAGGGCATTGAGTCCATCACATAAAGGTTTGATTTTCAATCTTGAGCTTCCGGCGTGGCGACAGTAACCATGCGGTAAAACCAACGGGACATCTCTAAACATGAATCTATGATGTTTATGCATGCCTGTATAATGAAGTAAAGAAGCTGAACTTCACTTCACTAGCACCATAACATACTAAGAAACGTAGATATATACAGAGTCTACTGCAATGCAAGCAATAACAAATCAGTCATGTATGCATAGATAGATACCTCCATGCTTCAGTAGATTCCCCCTCACCCTGCAGACTTCTTTTTCCAGTTTTGGTAAGGATTTTGTTCGGACGGATGCCTCGATTCTCTGCACTAAAATCCGAGCTGATTACGTAATTAGCAAGAACGGATGAACTCCAATGCACTAATCACATCGACAATCCGAGGTTTCAATGCCGCAAATCACCGTGATATCGCAAACTAAATCGTCAGTAATTGAAGCTAGTGACGACCTCGGGCCGTGAAAGAAGTTATAGGACAGAGCTCGGCGTTTCCCTGATCGAGATCAGAAGATAGACGCAAACTCACGATTGCAAGCAAAGTGCACGTAGTTCGAATGACGCATTCGCGAATCATACGATACGATGTTCAACGGTACGAACACGGAGAAGAACGAGAGCGAAAGCACAAGAGACGACGGAGAGAGAGAGAGAGAGAGA